TCATACTAATCGCATTGTATTCCAAATCCAAATTGAAAACATGTATTGAGTTGTAGCATTTCACATGCCATCCTTAGGTTAGCCGAGCCTATTTTAGCTACATTTTGCATGTGTTGCATTAGCCATTGCTAACATGAACTAGGATCATGCATTGATTACTAACTAGTTTCCTATTTTGGCTCGAAGTACTAGGTAAGCATTTATGTTTTAGCATACTGCATGCGTGTAAGTGTTGCCATGATAGCATGTTTACCATGAGGCTATGTGCTTAAGTGATATAACTGCCTGAATGCTCATGGGTGAAGGTTGGGTTACTTGAATTGAGAAAATTCATTGAAATCCATATTTTAGCTTACTTGTGAGTAGCAAACTTCAAACCATTTCCAAACAAACGGATATGCGATGCTTTGTTTCAAATTAGACGACCTAGTCTATACTTGTTTTGCTGTGCGCATCACATAGTAATTCTAGCTAATTAACCGGAATAAGAACGCATGTGTTTTCAAAAACTAGATATCATGTTTAGTAATGGCTGATCTTTGATCGGGCGAGCGGGGGTGCTCATAGCTGACCTTCCATAATCGTACCCAAGTTCCCAAGCCGAGGTAACTTTGGTGATGACGGACACGTGGCCTTAGGCAACGAGTCAGGGTTTCCTAAATTTCCCCAAAATAAAATATTTAGGTGGCGACTCTGTATCTGGCAAAGAAGTCCATATTTGGCATTTCTTTCTAAAAATCTATTTTTCAAAACGATTTGCCGGATTTGGACTCTTTGGTGATTTATCAATCTCACATCGCACATTGTGAGATCAGATTAAGAACCGTGACAATTTGAGTCCGAACTGTAGCATGAGGCCATCGGGGCGCGTCTACAGCTCCCTAATTGAAGTTTAAGTCTTGTGCAAACGGTTGTCACATAAACCCTAGAATGGAACGGACGTATTCGGACTCTTTGCGATGGTTTGATTGGTGAGATAAGGTTGGGTCCGGATGGGACATTCAGGATGATAAAACTTTTTTGGAAGGATAAGGTTGGATTCAGGAGATAAAACCTTTTTCTTTTTGCTGTCCCTTTTGAGGCTCTGCGGTTGGCGCTACGCGGTATATAACCGTTGGTAGGCATCCAAGGTTACTTCTGTAACAAAGCAGCAAAAGGGGAAGTTCCGAATAGTCCAGTGACCAATTCTTGTGGTTGGGAGGATGAAATCTCTTTGGGGGATTTCTAGAATACTAACCACTAACATTATAACCTTTGTTATCTATTTGAATGACATGTTCCTTTCCTCTATTACTGAAATTGTTGTTATTGACTTGAATATCATGCTTCACTACTTGCTTGCTATAAATGTGATGATGTATTGGATTGGGAAAAAGGAACGGGGTGTGTGTACGTTTACTGGGCCTTCAAAGCTCATGGCGTTTCATGCCAGGTATTGAAGACTATTAGACCGGTTGAAGGCAAAACTGAAGCATTTGAGGACGTACGGCTACCCTAGAAGGATTAAAAACTAGTTTGTAAACGTGTTTTGAGATTGTAAGTGATAGATCCCATGTTGTATTTAAGACATGATTTTGTAACTCGTATATATATAACATTTGTAACCTATCCTTATACTCCATCAACTCATGTAGGCCTTGTGTTAATACCTTGTCAAGATCTATCAAAAATGTAGCTTTGCTATCTAAGGTGGTTAGACTTTGAAGGGAGGCTATTTTGACTCATCTGACCTTCCTGGGATCTTGCTTGGTTATTAGCCAAAAGACTCATTAGTGACATTTTCTACTCTTGTAACATTAGATAAACCCTGTATTTAATGGTTAATATATTATCTGATGTTCCGATTTTTGGGGCGTCACAGTAGTTTTAGCAGATTAGGTGATATTTTGCACAGTCCTAAGGAATGCAAGTGATTCTATGATGGAGTGCAAGTCTCACTTTGCACAGCCCTAAGGAATGCAATTGGTTCTATGATGGGGTGCAAGTCTCACTTGTACCCCTCCATATTTGTGTATTTTTTTAATTTTTTTTTTCTGTTACACTATTGAATAATTCCTCCTTAAAAAAATTAGCCCAATTGATACTCTCAAATTGTGTCATGTTAGTTCTTTTTGCAAATCAAAGTTACAAATTTTTGTTTACGCACATTTAATATTAAGTTTGTGAGTTAAAGAAACAAACTTTTATTTTATGAAAAAGTGTAAAATGAGATTTGAAACTAAGGCTTCGTTTGGTAATGTGACAATCGCCTTCTTAATTAAGCAAATTAATGATAATAATTGTGTGCTTAAAGTTAATTGTGTGATTATATGCCATATAATATATGCTTGCATTGGTTGGTATTGCATTATTATTATGAACAGATGTGGATATGTATGAATTAGACCAGTTTGATTTGTAAATTTTAACTAGTTAGAATTACGAAATTAGATAGGGATTAGAGCCTAATTCATCTTAGTATAATTAACTTAGTTTAATTAAGATTATAAGATGATGATGACTAATTAAATTGTGTGAATTTGATTTGCATTAATTAATGTGATTTATTATTAGCCTAAGTTAACCTTGAAGAATAAGAATAAAAGAATTTAAAAAAAAAAGAAAAAAAAGAAAACAAATCCTACTCATCAATTGAGAACTAGTGAGCTTGCTCTATACTACACGTAGAAAGAGAGAAAGGGAAAGACTTAGTGTATTACTCATCAAATTGAAGAAGAGATGTAGTGGTCATTGTAGAGAAAACTTGAGAGAGATGCCTAGAAAGAGAGTTCAACAAGGAGAAAGAAAGGGTTGGAGAAGAATATTGAAGCTAAGGGTCAATCTTCACAAATTAATCAAGTAAGGTGAGAATTCTCCACCAAATTTACGATTTGCCGGATTTGGACTCTTTGGTGATTTATCAATCTCACATCGTACATTGTGAGATCAAAGAATAGAGCCATGGATTCATAGGGAACTGAAAGCTATACTTGGGGATCCAGATCCATCTGTTATTGTGCATGTGGCATCCTCACTCTTTATCTCAGGCCTTGAAGAGAAGCACGAGGCCCCTTCCAAACAATTTGTTCTCGAGGATAACTTTATTGAACCTTTGCGACCTTTTCTGCATGAAAGGACGAATATGTTTTGGCATGAACTCCGGTACATCATCTGCATTTAATTGACAAAAGATTGTTTGTTGCCCAGATAAGAAATTTATTTTTCCAAATTCTTAATTTATGTATGCATGTATTTTTTGTTTTTAAATTTTAAAAACAATTAGCATTTTATTTAGGTGAGAATGATCTATAATTACTTTGTTTCTCAGAATGACAGTTTTCTAATGAACAAAAACTGTATGCCTTTCTTAAGGTGTTTTGCAGAAAGTCCATTCAACATTGAGACATACGACACTGTAGTTGAATATAAAAAATTGTCAGAATAAGTTCAGAAGAGAAATTTCAAAGGCTTTGTTGGCAACTTGGGGGGTCATGTTCTTCAAAAAGATCTATGGCTCCAAAGGATCGTGCAAGCTGTCATTGGAATTGTGTCTTCATCTGCCTGTTTGGAGAGATAGTCAATGGTCTTAATGGTCTTAATCCAGCGCATGTCTGCCTGGTCTTAATCCAGCGCATGTCTGCCTGGTCTTAATCCAGCGCATGTCTGCCTGGTCTTAATCCAGCGCATGTCTGCCTGGTCTTAATCCAGCGCATGTCTGCCTGGTCTTAATCCAGCGCATGTCTGCCTGGTCTTAATCCAGCGCATGTCTGCCTGGTCTTAATCCAGCGCATGTCTGCCTGGTCTTAATCCAGCGCATGTCTGCCTGGTCTTAATCCAGCGCATGTCTGCCTGGTCTTAATCCAGCGCATGTCTGCCTGGTCTTAATCCAGCGCATGTCTGCCTGGTCTTAATCCAGCGCATGTCTGCCTGGTCTTAATCCAGCGCATGTCTGCCTGGTCTTAATCCAGCGCATGTCTGCCTGGTCTTAATCCAGCGCATGTCTGCCTGGTCTTAATCCAGCGCATGTCTGCCTGGTCTTAATCCAGCGCATGTCTGCCTGGTCTTAATCCAGCGCATGTCTGCCTGGTCTTAATCCAGCGCATGTCTGCCTGGTCTTAATCCAGCGCATGTCTGCCTGGTCTTAATCCAGCGCATGTCTGCCTGGTCTTAATCCAGCGCATGTCTGCCTGGTCTTAATCCAGCGCATGTCTGCCTGGTCTTAATCCAGCGCATGTCTGCCTGGTCTTAATCCAGCGCATGTCTGCCTGGTCTTAATCCAGCGCATGTCTGCCTGGTCTTAATCCAGCGCATGTCTGCCTGGTCTTAATCCAGCGCATGTCTGCCTGGTCTTAATCCAGCGCATGTCTGCCTGGTCTTAATCCAGCGCATGTCTGCCTGGTCTTAATCCAGCGCATGTCTGCCTGGTCTTAATCCAGCGCATGTCTGCCTGGTCTTAATCCAGCGCATGTCTGCCTGGTCTTAATCCAGCGCATGTCTGCCTGACTTGAAAACAATACACGCAATTTGCACAAACCAAGAAGAATGAGCCAAAGCGGGTGGAGTTGCATCATGTTATCAAGGGGAAGAACAATAGAATTGAAGAAGACAAGCGAGTAGCTTCCTCATTCAAGATTATCCATGTTCATCAGGGTGTTTATTCAAATAATAGTACACCCTAATTGGAGATTCTTGTTATCAGTTTCATCCAGTCGCATTTTTATCCAGCTTATATGGTTTGTGATATCTATACTGGCTAATGGATTTTGTGACTGTTAAATTTCTTTCAGTTCTATTTAACTGGCTATTTTTACTGCCAAAAAATTGAGTTCTCTCAATACTTATGGAAAATGATATATTATACACCTCAAACTTGTAGTGATCATATGTTATTGCGGATTATTAGGGAGATTAATATTATACAATCATACAAAATTAGATGAAAGAGAATAGCCTTAATAGTCGGGCATATTTTCATTTTAATTGCTATTTGGACATAGAAATAGGTGATGAGAAGAATAGAGTTGAAGAAAATGAAATTATTATTCTAATTAATATAGATCCAAGTATATATCTAAGTCAGGATATGTAATAAGTGCGAGGAATGTAGAACTAAACAAATGGACTTATTCATCTTTCAACATGAAAATGTGATAATTTTTTTGTTCTTACTCTTTACTTCTTTTCATACAAAATTATTCTTACAGGCACGGCAGTTGAGTTGTTCTTATCACTGCTATAGGTTTGCACCAAAGGGGGTTGTCTACTCCTACAGCCAAACAGAGATGGACTAAGTTAACCATGAACATCAATATGTTGAAAAGCTGAAATCTGACCCACAACATGACAACCTTTGCTCTGCCTTCCATATACCTGTTAAAAAAATCATGCAGTACAGGGTTCCTAGATTGACATAAAACATGATTTCAAAAGTATTCCTTCAATTTTTTGTGGCCCCTGATTCCAATCTAACACTACCACTAGTGCCATTATTTCACAAAATTATAACCTATATGACACTGCAAACTCTCGTGATACAGCAAACACATGCCTGACGGTGAATTCGGTGCGTCTATCATTCTTCTTCCGGTTCTCCCTCTTCTTGGAGAAGATTCTCTCTATTGTCATGGGCCCAGAAACCGCGCACATCTACAAGCATGCTGGCAACAGTTCCACCCTATTTGCAAGCCAATAGATCAGCCAGAGTGATCCGTAGAGGGTCAGATGGTTTCACCATGTCCCAATCTCTTACGGCCTCAATACAAAGCTCATAGTTCCCTCCTTCAATCCATTTCTGGTGTACATCTCTGTTTCAAAGCTCATAGTTCTATATATGCGAGTTTTTTTTACCAAGTGCATGTGATTTTAAATCATATTTCCCAATCTCAAAGTAGTTTTCAACTTATTTCCCAATTTTTTTTTTTTAAAAGTTACAGTAAGGTATTTGAAGTCATGTAACCAAACCACAACTCGAATAAACAACCTGTATTGATAAATATGTTTAAAAGTGGGGAAATTCGTTTAAAAGTCAGCCGACCTTGGTAAAAAAACTTGTACATATGCATTGAGGTTACAAAAACAAATTCAGGGGTAACTAGCTCCCTAGTCTAAAAGCCTTCAACAAGGTTTCCAAACTTAGTAGTTTGGTTCATGTGTCTTGTAATTTGGGACTTGCAGAACTAACTCAAGTACCCACAAGCAAGAAATTACAGAGATTTTCTGTAGGAAGATTGCATCAGGTAACACCTCTGCTTGTGAAATACGAAAGTAGTATTACATGAGAGAGAGATAGAGAGAGAGATCCACAAAGAGACTAACACTAACACAAGCCAGAGTTCACAATTAAATATCCACAGATGAAACTTGTCTCATGTTTACGCATTCACTGTAATAGCACAATCACGTGATCAAACCACAGTGATAAAACAACTGTGGAGTTGCATTATTAATGTTGTAATTTATCAGAGATATTTTGTTACAAGAAGGATCATGCTCTCTTATTCATTTTTAATTTTTCTTCCTCGAATAAACACACAATCAAATCCTAAAATCAATCAGGTTTCAGAGCAAAACACACACCATTGGGAATCAATTTAGAACAAAGTGGCTTAATGACAGTTATTAATGTCACCAACTACATGTAAAACGATAAAGTCCGTATGCTATGTTGCCTGTTGCCTTTATGTTGAAGTTCACATCAGTCGCTGTTTGTTTATCTATTGTTCTGAATCCTTTCTTTTGCATATGAAGCTTATGTTATTGGTGGTTGTGGTGGTTAAGTTTCTATTTTCCTATATACTTGTGTTACTCATTTTACTGTTGTTACTTATCAAAGAAAAAGTTACTATAATAATTTTTTGCAATAATTAGGCACCTTGGTATCAACGAGCCTTATTAACTCAAATTACTTAATACACTTTATAGGTGAATATCTAATTACACATGTCAGACACATATAGAAAACAAGACATTGTTATGCATAGAAAACCAAGACCCACCGTATGCATGACATAAAGGTAAAATGGCAGGATGACAATTCTTCCTGACTCATCTTTCTCGAACTTCATGAAGTTTGACGGACTGAAAAAGCGTCGACATTTAGGGCCTATTTGTTCTGTACACACAGAGGCAATGTGGCAAAAGTCCTCATAATTCATCTAACAATATGAGAAACAAGACGTGTTTTAGCATCATTAGAGAAAAAAAAAAAAACAGACAAACAAACAAAAGAGTAGTTATAAGGCTGTAACTGTACGAGGGATATAATCAGAATTGTTAAAAATAATAATAATAATAATAAAAGAAGAAGAAGAGTTGTACCACAGCATCAAATATCTGTACATTAGATCAAACATGCCAAATTATTAACTTCAAAATTAGTAAGCTTAAACAAGCAGTTAGCAAGAAATCTAAGAAAACAAATGCACCAGATGTGGCTATAGCAGTCTAATCCACACTCAGTGAATGTCCGCTAATTCAATAATGTGAAAGAAAGACAACATTTCTTTCGGTCAGGTTTGAATAGAAAATAAATGGACAGAAGAAAGAGAAAAACAATGAAAAATCAAGATACAAAAACTGGCATGAGAGAGAAAGAAAACAAAGTATTATACTACATGGATAATTGTTAAAATGTTTGCACAACAAACTAGTGTACTTAAAATTATCAGGACATGTCAGAAATCCAGAAGAATCTAAAAAAAGAAAATAAGTCAACTACCACTGCTAGTGTAGACATTCACAAAGAAGCTGAACATATATATTAGATTCTTAGAAACATGAAAGAGAAATTATATAAAAATGATAAGGTGTATAGACCTTTCTAGCACCAGTGGCATCATCAATCACAGTGCAATTGATCTTCATTGAAACCTCTTGGCTTTCAGAATTAAAGTAACTGAAAGCAACCGCAGCAGAAGAAATATAAATTTATTTACTAATTCTAATAATGCATCGAAGGAAATCTACATATACTAAAACATTGGCACAGGCATTGCCATAGAGCAGAGTCATTAACAGTTACTTCTGCATATTTTCTTGGCAATCATTGATAGTTCCAAGGGATAGGCTATTCTTAAAATCTTACATGCATATTCCTCAATCACTGAACCTTCCACTCCTTTACAAACACAGAACAACAGTGTCCTTAGGTATTTCTTCTGCAATGCATCATAAACACCTACAAAAATTAAGAAAACAAACAAATTAAGAAGAGTGTAAGAACATTTGAGTGTACAAAAGTATCATATCAGGAAAATCTACATGTCTTTCTCCATCCAATCAATTAGTTTGCAAAACTTTGCATCCATTGGTGCAAGCTTCTTGATCTTCATCTCTATTCATAATTTCATGATTGTTCAAATATATTCACCAATGAGAACTTAAATTTCATAGAAAACTTGAAGTAAATCTGATGATGACAAACTCACCTTAAGGTAGGAACAGACTTATCATTGAAATATTTCTCAGGAAAAAGGCCTCTTATGTAACTAATGTTAAAAATGGCAATGCGCAGCAGATTCCCTGTCTGTTTCAGACAAAACCATTAAAGAACATGAGATCAACACTGAATAAATTAACATCAATAAAGTTTTTGAATATCCATTTTTGAAACATTAATGTCAACACAAAGACTGACCATTTTTATATAATTTTATGTTTGGGAGGCCATAAATAATTTTTTTAATATATTTTGATATTTATTTTTATTAAATTAGTTTCTACTTTTTCAAAAAAGAAATTGAATTTTTTTTTTCTGAAAAAAAGAAAGAAAACAAACATGGTCGTATTTATGGATAGATTAGGTGAAATGTTTACCAAGGCATATGAGGATATAAAAGTTATTTGACATTTTAACTAAATAGATTTGACTTGTGTTGATTTCAAGGAACAAGGGGGGTGACAGTGTGATTTCAAACAAATAGAGGGGGTGTCGTTGTAATTTACCCTAAAGATTGCTATGAAGGATAGTCATACACATGGATCATACTTTATCACTTTTTTAGGAAGATATCGTAAGTATATTGTTAGGTTTTTATTCTTGGCAATCCCATTTGACAAAACTCCTTTCAATTGTACTTATTTTCGCACTTTTTATTTCAGTAAGGTTATGAGTTTTTAGATGCAAATCCAACCCGAATTGTGCCTTGCAGAGAAGTTTGTGATGTTAATGCTTTCAAGATTGTCACATCGCTGATTATGACGGGGATCGAGCTGCCCGGTCAGCTCGCGGGGGTCGAGGGAGCAGCACCCCTTAGCGGGTCCAGGGCAGCGCCATGGCGGGGTCGAGGGGCAGCGCCCCCGAAGTAAAATGCAAAAATGCATTCCAAGTTGCCTATCCGCTCGAGCGGACATTCCTTCGCTCGAGTGGAGAATCCTTGGTTCTAGAAGTTTGATCGCCTGCAAAAATACTGCGATATGTTTTTTCCCGCTCGAGCGGAACTTTTCGCGCTCGAGCGTAGGTCCGCTCGAGCGGAGATCTCGGGACAATTTTTTATAAATACGTGTTTCAGTCCAATTCTAGGATTACTTCTCCAAATCTTCTTCTTGGGTTCTAGGGTTTATATCTGGGGATATTTTGCTAGTTTTCTTTGATGTTTTGATTGAGTATTCAACTCATGGTTTAAAGAGTATACATCAAAGGATTATTTGTTTGTTCTACACAAAAGAGAGAGTTGTTCTACGATGGATTCTGAATAATTTAAGTCTGAAGCTTTGGTGGATTCTGAAGTGGCTCATCGTCAAGACAATTTCGAGGTGAAGACGGGGTTGGAAGAGACACATAGAGGTTGGTTCAATTCGGGCGTGGATTCGCTAGGTAATTGAGAGTATACCTGTGTAATTCCTTTATATCTTCTTAGTAGATTGTTTTGTGGCTGTTGCTCATGGTTTTTTATCACAATTGGAGGTGTCCAATTGTGGTTTTTTCACGTAAAATCGTTGTGTCGATTTGTCTTGATTGTTTGATTGGGATTGTTATATACTACTTATAATTGATACATAATCACAAATCAACATCTAGGAAATTTCTAGATTTTTCATATATCTACTGTGACATCATACCATACTAAATATTTGATTCAGAAAGAACACACAGCAACAATGAAGAACAAGTTCCATCTCAGCACATTGGACAATCGAGGTTCCAATTAGTATACATAATATTGGTGCAAAATCTGAACCATACACTCAGATAATAATGCACAATGTAATATAAGTTTCAATGTATAAAGTTCATTAGAACAGAATGATGATGTGCTCCATACTTCTATTCTATACACCCGTTTGTGCTACCATTCTCCCAAAAAAATAATTCATATGCACTACATATCCTTTCAGCTTTGCATCAAGTTATATGAGAATTACTAAGGAATAGTTGTCAAATTGTATATGAATCGTGTATTATATCTTGCTCTTTTTTCTGTTTAATTCAAAAAATGTCACATTGAAAAAAAAAAATTTACAACATTACACCAAAATCAAAAGTAGCGGACACAATAGAAGTATGTCTAAAGCTAACTTACAAACTAAAGTCCAAAATGACACTTGCACCAGTAAAAGTAGCTAGCAACAATTACTTACATGAGAGACCAGCAATAGCACCAAGAATAAGAGATGAAAAACAAAGATCAGTAAAAGAGGCAATGTGTACAAAGGCCAGATTAATTGTTGCAGGCAGCAGCAGGGAATTTAGTGTAATTAAGATTATAAGATGATGATGACTAATTAAATTGTGTGAATTTGATTTGCATTAATTAATTTCATTTATTATTAGCCTATGTTAACCTTGAAGAATAAGAATAAAAGAATTTAAAAAAAAAAGAAAAAGAAAAAAAGAAAACAAATCCTACTCATCAATTGAGAACTAGTGAGCTTGCTCTATACTACACGTAGAGAGAGAGAGAGAGAGAGAGAGAGAGGGAAAGACTTAGTGTATTACTCATCAAATTGAAGAAGAGATGCAGTGGTCATTGTAGAGAAAACTTGAGAGAGATGCCTAGAAAGAGAGTTCAACAAGGAGAAAGGAAGGGTTGGAGAAGAATATTGAAGCTAAGGGTCAATCTTCACAAATTAATCAAGTAAGGTGAGAATTCTCCACCAAATATCATGAAATTAAGATACTATACTCATGATCCTTTAGGTGTTGAGTTGAACTAGGATGAAATTCATGTTTAATTAGAGGTTTGTTCATGATATTCTGAGCTTAGGACATGCATGTCTTAAAATGGAGGAATTGAGTGGATTAGCTCCTAAATTCAGCATGCATGTATAATTCCATGACAATTTGTTCTTGTACACTTCACTTCATGCATGAGTCTTCAAATTGAAAGGATATCTTATGAGGTTTGAAGCTTTAAAAGTTCAAACTTGTATATCTATGTCTACATTTTTCATTCCAAAAGTTTAATTACTTTATATTGGAAAACTTGAGTTGAATTAAAGTCATGACTTTTGTTTGATGTTAGACTTTGTAAGTTAAGGTTAATTTCATAGGTTTTGAGTTGAATTGCATGAGTATGAGGTTAGTATTTGAAAAGAGGAAGGTCCAAAAACAAGCTATTTTCGGGTTCTAGGTTTTCCAGAACCACACGTGCGACTTGAAGCCCCGCATGTGCGGAAAACATGGCAGTGCTTAGTGTGTATTCTGCTTAAATTGCACCTGCGAGAGCAGGTGTGGTGGTGGTCACCTCACGTGCAGCTGGGACCTTTGCACGTGTGGCCATTTTGGGCAGGCCTGGTTTTGTTTCCTCTCATCTTTTCCTCCTTTCAGGCCTCCGTTTGCATAGTTTTAAAGTGCTTTCATGTGCATTTACATCTCACTAGTGCATTAAAATGAACGAAGGAAAATTTAGAACCGAACGGGCAAGGACGAGTGGTTATTGATTAAGTAAACAACGAACTGAATAGAATTAATTAAACGAATGGACTATGTATTAAATTATTGTGCTTTAACTTGTTTGTTTAGGTCGGACACCGCACCGTTAGTGCATTGTAACACGTGTTTCGTGGAGTCCACAATGAGTAACAATGTTGTAAAGTTATGTTCAACTATAATTATTTTCTGAATGATTAACTATATTGTTTTCTGAAATGGTATTGTTTACTAAATGAATGTTTGTTCTAATTTATGGATTGTATTCGTGGCATCCATAGCAACTAACTGTTACTGTTATTGCTATTGTTACAAAGATCTTCGTCCGTTCTAATCTTTGGAACTACTATTATTGTATTGATGGCTATCAGCCAACTGTTCGGTTTATTAAGACTTACTATACTGTTTTGCTATTGGATGTATCACGTATGACTGCTATGATTTCTAAATGACTGATATGACATGAAATATGAGGCATTGATTGAATAACTGATCTACGGATGCAATTGACTATTTTAATTACTGAAAGGATATTCATTCTTAACCCCTTTACACATTTGTTATTCACTGGGCTTTAGCTCACAATGTATTATATGTATGTAGGTGGTCAGGCACCGGAGCAAAGCTAGCAGTGCCAACTTGATTCGTTTTGTCAAGCCAACCTATTATGCCTCACCGCGAGGTTCCGAACTATTAATGTTAAAGCTTTTTGGGTGATCTAAATCCATCCATTTTGAGTAGTAATTGAAGTGAACATTATATGAAGTCAAGTGACTGTTGTTATGATTTGTTTTGGCTTTGGAATTTAATTCCCTAACTTCTGTTTTGTTTTGTATATAAGTGTCTTATGGACTTATGTGTTTGTGTGCATATATAAGGATATGAAATTTGTGTTGTTCATTTAAGTCCTCACAGCTCTTTGGACATTATGTTTTAATATCTACAGGATTTCGCCAGCTCCTTTGTTTTGTATAATTGTTATTACTATTAAGAAGGCCTTTGGTAATCATGGATTATTGGCCGGTTACGTTGCTAAATCTTTAGGGACGAGTTTGGGTCGTGACAGGTAATGACTTTTTTAATTGATTTTTTGACTTTTTTGACTTTTTTAGCCTAAGACTTTTTTGTTTATTTGGTTTTCTTGTTTGGCTTTTTGGCTTCGGAAATGATATTTCCAAAAGTGAAATGACAGAATTGCCCTTAAGTGGCCAAATCCAATAACACCTCCAATTATATACAAATTTTGCAATGGAATTACAATTTTTTTTTTTCCATTTCCCTTTTTTTGACATTTTTTGTAAATTGCTTCATGGAAGTGAATACAAAAAGAAGAAAGAATTTCCTCAATTTGGAAGCAAATCCCATTTTATGGACAATAGGTCTAGTGAGTTTTAAAAAAAAATGGTAACAGATTTAAAACAAAAACAAATAAAAATTAATAAATAAAAAATAAAAACAGTATTTTTTGTTGGTATGTTGATCTACGTTGAGTTCATCAAGAAGAAAAACGAAAGTGAAACAAAAAAGAAGAAAGTATTTCCTCAATTTGGAAGCAAATCCCATTTTGTAGACAGTAGGTCCAGTGAGTTAAAAAAAAATGGTAACAGATTTAAAACAAAAACAAATAAAATAAAAACAGTATTTGTTGTTGGTATGTTGTTTTTGAGTTGAGTTCATCAAGAAAAAAAACGAAAGTGAATACAAAAAAGACGAAAGTATTTCCTCAATTTGGAAGCAAATCCCATTTTATGGATAGTAGGTCTAGTGAGTTTAAAAAAAAATGGTAACAGATTTAAAACAAAAACAAATAAAATAAATAAATAAAAAATAAAAACAGTATTTGTTGTTGGTATGTTGTTCTTCATTGAGTTCATCAAGAGAAACGAAAGTGAATACACACAAAAAAAAAAAAAAAAACGTTCCCACAATCAGAGTTCACACAATCTATACAGAGACATTTGACCTGAAACCTCCATTCACACCAACAAAGGCATTTGAGCTCTAATCGAACAGAACAACGACGAATTTTGAACATACACACAACAAACAAGTAAGATCTGGTGCAAGGAGAGGAAAACCCCAAAATAAATCGAGTTATGCGTATCAGAGATGCAAACATGAAACAATGTTACGAGTAGAGGATGGTCGAGGTGTTGCAGATGCGATGTTGGCTTGGATCAGTCGTCCGATCTTATGCAGTCTTCTCCCCCTCTTCCATTCTTCTTTGTTGCCCTCTGCTTCGTGTGTGAAGAAAATGAAACCCTAGCATCCACATAGAGATATGTATTGGTGTATATGGGGTAGTTTGGTAATTGTTCATCCTCCTCATGTGCCTCACAACTCATGTGTATCACAACTCATGTGTATCATTTGGCAATTTGTGATTTTGTAACCAAATTTGTCCGTATGTGATTTTTTAGCCTGAAAACGATTGCCAAACAGGGGCTAACTCTATCGATCCATACTTAGATTGGTCCATACCTAACTAGAAAGAACTCAAATTCTTATGTTATGTTTGGTTTAATTATTTATCACTATATTTATACGACAATTAATTAATGATTATTTAATTTAATTTCAATAAAGCAAACACTAGGGCATAAAATAAATATTCTCCTTTTAGTGTAAAGTATAGATTTTTTTTTAGCAAAGATTGTCTCCGGTCCATGAAAATGGATTGGATAATACAATTTACATTTTGTGAGCTTATTTTGAGTTTATCTCTATAATTCGTGTAGGTAATTTATTTTTAATAAATTAAATTGATTAAATATTAATATCTATATATAATCAGTGATGCTACACACATCATTTATTATATTTTTAGTATACTAACATATGTGAGAGAGTAATTTATATGAATAAATTGGGCCAACGTTGTGGGTGTAAATAACCCAGTTGTGGGCCATCTATATACCGAGCTATGAGAGATGATGCCAGGGCCTTGACCCAGCTGTTTAAAACTAAGCCCTGTAATGGACTGGGTTATTAGTAGGAAAGAAGGTCGTGCTAAGTGTAGCTCAGCAGTGCATCATCCTGCAGTGAGGGTTAACTCGGCAACGCCCAGAGCAGTAATTGGTCGTGTTAGCTCGGTTGATTGGCGTACTAGCCGAGCTAAAAGAGTTGAAGCCATCTCACTGGGTTGGTAGTGAGCAAGGTGTTATCAGGATTAGCATTATCTTTGGGAGTGTGATTCCTAGGAGGATTCTACTAAAGAGAGTGTAATTCCTAGGAGGACTCTACTAAGGAGAGTTAGAGTCCTTTTAGGATTGTGCTAGGCAGAATCTATAAAAGCTCATGACAGGACCTATGCACAGGTATTGCAATTCTTATTCTCAAATACACAGAGCTTATTGTCTATTGTCTACCTGCTGACTTAGGCATCAGAGGGGTTTCTGGCACACATCCGCCGACTAGCTCACGTTTGTATTTTCAGGTAGAAAACCGAGGATGTTTGGAGGAACGCAAACTTGGTCAATAAGATTATACGAGACGATTATTCTGTACTCGTACAATTGGCGCCATCTATGGGAAGTATACAGAGAACAAACACTTTGATTGAGTTTTCCTTCAATTAATGTCAAGGGCATATAATGAAGACTTGCTCCATTCTGTTAAGGATGGGCAGACCCCAGAAATGGGCAGAAGGTGGGAAGGTTTGCCTTTTGTTCGACCCATGGCAGAATCGGATCCCTAACGATGGAACCCATGGAGAGACGTGCGAAAAAGACGGGGCTCAAGTCCTCGTCGCTCTCAAAGCCCTAACAAGTAGAGGCGGAGGATGTACCCTCAGTTATGGAAGATCACGTAAGGG